CCTTTATGAAGAAGGTGTGTCTGGACACACTGTATGTGGGGCTGCCCTTGAAGAATTTTGAGAAATTGTATCTGATGGAAAAGACAGTAGTCAGGCTGCTTTTGGGTGTCCAGTCTTTGGATCATAGTACATCAGTTCTTTCTTCCTGCACTGACTTAGTATTCATTTCCAGGCCCAATTCAAGCTTCTTGTTATTCCTTGGAAAGTCCTAAATGACTTGTGATCAAGTTAACATGAAAGACTGCTTCATCATGCATGAACTGCCCATCAGTCACGGTCTCATCAGAGGCCCAGCTTTGTGTTCTGTCACCAAAGGAGATCTGATTTGTGATAATATGGGACAGGGAGGTTTTAGAGGTAGACTTCCAGTGGAGAAACACTCTTCCAAGTGAGATCGGAGAGCACGCTCTGATGTCTTGGACATCCACCCCAAAAACATTTCTCAAAGTATATGTCACTAATGGTCAACCAAAAACTCTCCTCAAAAGAAAAAGCTGTGCAAACCTTGGAGATCACCAAATCTCTTCCTTCAAGCAAGAAGTTCTAGAAGGTTGGAGGTAGTCCTGAAGAAAATGGGAAGGGAAAAGGTGATTTCATGTCAGGATTGTGCTTCATTGTTGTGACCTGTCTTGAGGTCCCTTACGGGGTGAGATTGCAGAAATAATTTGATAGAGAAGTATTACTTTCTTTTCCTTCTTTGCGCCTTTTCCAACTTGATGATAATCCTTTCAGAGATGCTGGAAACAGAACCAAACACACTGCTTGAAGGGTAGATGCACTGTAGATTTACATAAAGATGTTATATTGGCAGTTCTAATTTCGATCCATTTTCTAATTATCTCTGGCATGAAATTCACCCTTTTTCACTGCAGCTGCACGGTGGGTTGATATTTTCATTGATCTATCCACTGCAACCCCAAGATCCTTTTATTGGTCAGTCACTGCCACTTCTGCTCCCATGAGTATCAATGGATTTTTTGCTGTAATATCAATCAGTTTACACTTCCATAAAATAGCTTTTGCAATCCTATTGCCCATTTACCCTATTAGATTCTTTAAAGCTCTTTACAACCCATCTTCATTTTTGCCCCTCTAAATAATTTGGTGTCTGTTGCAGACTTGGTCACCTCACTCCTAACTTCAGATAAGCAAGTTAAAAAGCAAGGGCATAGTATGGAACTTGGGGGGACCTATTGTTCAGACCTCCACATCCTGAAAACTGATCATGTATTCCTGCTGTCTAGAAAGAGTATTGTTATGACTTCAAAGTCAGGTCAAGAGCATATTGTAAAGGACTTCATCAAAAGCATCTTGAAACTCAAGTACGCAATGACTACTGGATCATTCCTCCTCACATATTTGTTTATTGTCATGAGAACTCAAGAAGGTTAGTAAGACAGGACTCAACTTTCTAAGCACCAAGACTGGTTTTTCTCATGTTTAGTACTCTTTCCCTCCATAGGTTGTGTCAGAGATGGGTTATGTTTTCATTGTTTTCTCTTGCATGGTGGAAAAAAAAAATCACTGCTTAAATCAAGGGTAGACAACCTGGTGTCCTACAGACACTTTGACCTCTGCTACAAAAAGCCTCAATCAGCATGATGAAAGTTTAGGGACACCATGTTGTCTCTCTCTGGTTTAAATGCGTTCATTGTGGTGGGAAAGTCACCTGCTCTGAAGATGATGCTCTTGTGTGGGAGGAGCTAATGTGGGAAAATGTCAAGTTTATGGAGGATATCTCTCAGGGTTAAAACAGCATTGTCAGAGAAGGCCTGGGCAGCATGGGAAGTTGTCCCCAGCTTGGTCACTGCACGATGGAGACCTGCCCCTGCAACTGGCGGGCAACATGGATTGGCTGTGATCTGCCTTAATTGTTTATGAACTTCTTTTAAAACATTAAGTTACGCTTTGCACACTGATCTGGCTATTAACATTAATATCAACTGTTTGGTGTAGTCTTTTGTTCTGCAAACAGTTTTTCCTTTATTTTGCTTGCCCAAATTGGGAGTATGCGTTAAGGAAGCAGTTCTGACAGCATACTTCCCTGAGCTAACTTAAACACAGAATAGTACCCTCACAGATCTGACTGGTAGAATCTAGAGGCGTCTTTCCATTACAGATGTTGAGATAGGTTGAATTTGGTCAACACTTTTCAAGGTTAGGAATACAAAACAGTGCAGTAGCTTCCCTGCAAGATAACGCTTAATCTTTTAAACTGAATGTATTCTTGCTATAGCTACCGGCAATGTGATTAGCTGGTACTAATCCTGTATCAGTTTTTAGGATGTTTCAGGGTTGGCTTTCTTACCAAGCCCAAGGGATGAAGACCAACACTAAAATTACCTTGATCTATTCAGTTGTAAAAAAAAAAAAAAAATACTAGATGAAGTATTGAAAAAGGAAAGGCTGTGACGATTTGGGTTTATTCCTTTATACTGATGGCACCAAACGTCAAAGTACGTTTGTGTATTCTGTGTGTGCATGTGATAAATCAAACTTATGGGGACGTGCAATTGTGTCTCTGTTTAGGAGACTGTCATGAGCATGTGTAACAACATTGCTGGTTGCCAGGGTAGCCTGGACAACCAGTTCGCATAGGTTTTGGCACTGCAGATCTCAGGAACTTTGGAAACATAGTCCAGAAATCATAGGAAGACCGATCAGGGCTCATTGCTAAGCAGTGCAGGACAATTAGCCAGAGGTCTCTGTTCAGACTGCAGGGATATGGCTAGAGGAACGAGAATAGCAAATCCGCATCGAGTATGTTGACATTGTAAGCAAATGGTATCTGGGAATTTTGCAGCACTGTCAAAGCAGAATCTCGCTGATGATCTTCCACTTGAGCAAACAGCCTGGTTTCTCTTCATATTCGACCTTTAGCTAAGCTTGAATTATCTCATGCCATGCTAATGGCAGCGTCTATCCTTTTCCCTAATTGCAGTCGATGTAGTGGTAGTTTAATGCAAAATGATTGCACCCGGGGTCTGAATTAGCTTCTTCTAGCTGTAGAGATTATTGGTACCACTGCAGGACACACAGAAAAATGTATCAGGTTTTTATTATGGAATTTGCGCAAGTTGGAAGTCCCAAACCAAGGCTAAAGAGAGTGCTTTAACACGTTGCCACCTCAACTGCTGCCTTAGGTCCTCTGCGTTTTTGCCTGCCCTCCCCAGCCTGCTTTTGATCCGTGGGCCTGTCCAGTGTGGTTTGGCATCAAAGTCAATGACTTCTTTTGGTCGTCTGGGTACAGGATTCCCTTGTGCAAACTGGGTGATATGCAGTCATATGCAGCAACTTCTAAGGTGTTGTGATGGAACCGTTTCTACCAGTGCTAGTCCTCATCCTGGATGTACTTCCCACATCAGGATGCTTATATGGCTCTTTCAGGCCAAAGGTGGAATTGGATGAGTCTCGGAAGATCCACACGCAGCATCTCCTGCAGTTTTAAAAAGGAAAACAAGTTAATATTTCAGTCCAAGCCTACCCAGGTGGCTAGCAGTATACAGTTACATAAAGTAAAATTAAAAGATCGAGGGTGCCTTCATATGCATACTTTAGAAAAGACATTCTGTGACTGGCTGGCTGTAGAATGCTCTGAGTGGCAGGGCTGCTTTCTGTCTGGGCATGCATAGGATTGCACTCTAAGGAAACAAGTAATAGAACAGAGCAGGGGGGGAAAGCACATATATTAGTTTCCACCAGGCTCAATGCTATCCAAAGCAAGTGTATCTTCCCTATACCGAAAAGCAAACAGGAATGAACTCAGGTGAGCCCTCACGTGGGAGATACTTGCAAGAACCAGCTGCCACAACTAAAGGAGACTGTCCCATCTGGCCATCTGCCACCCCTCAAATTTCATTCTGCAAAGTGGTGTTGAAGTCAAGAAATCCTTCTGTTGAAGACCATTTGTGGGCCCACGTTGTGATGCCAGCTCCTTGTGCTTCTCCCTAATTCCAAGGATAGCTCTGCAGCACTGTTTCAGCATCTTGCAGGGGGTTGATTTATTAAATAAAAAAAGTAAGGTGACTTCACCAAAAAGGTACATGCTGCTTGTTTTTAAAACATGTGAATAATTGCAGGAGCTCTTGGGTGGGTGGTGGGGGGAAGAGTTTTGTTCCAAGTGAGCGACACCTTGCTACCACTTAGGGCACCGAATATTGTGTGTGTTCGTAGTGGCTATGGAATGCAGAAAGTGCGAAAATGTGCTCTCGGCCAAATTCATTTTGACTCGTAAGTCCTCACCCACCCTTGTTTTAAAATTGCAACAACAGCAAATCCCCATTGGCAACGTTCTTTAAACATAACCTGTTTCTAGCTGGGTTGTTTCAATGTTTTGTCATGAAAATGGCAAAGAACACAATAGACCGGATCCTAAGAACCGCAAGTAGAAGAGAGCTCCTGGGAAGAGGAGTTTTCTCCAAGGTTGAGTAGGGGCATCTTGCACAAGCTCAGTCTTCCATTCCATTAACAGCCTATTTACCTCATCCCTTAACTTCCAAAGAAATTTTTCTGGGAGCTGCATGGTTGGTGGATGGAACGGGAAACCTTTCTCTCCCTCACAGTTTTTAAGGTCTAAGCCTTGGTCTGTTTACCTTCCATACTAATGCAAGAAGCAAATGGGTGTGAGATGATTAAGTTTTCTGAATTGCAGCTACAGTCTTCTGTGGATATTATTTCTTTCAGGTTCCTACATATTTTTTCCTTCTATCAACTCTTCTCCTATGTACCTTTTTACTGTCCCAAAACCTTTTAATGCAGTTGTTTGCTGTGGAATAACCACAGAAAATGTGGTAACTTATTTTCCATGTCTGTTCTCCCACCTTCTTTTCAGTGGCTGTAAAATTTATAACCCAATACGCTTCTTTCTTTTGCAGAAACAGCCAAATGCTGTTTTCAGCAACATTTTTCATACCTGGCAAGACTCTCAAGTCCCTCTTACAGCTCCTCAGCACTATGGGTAGTTTTTTATTGCTTTTTTTGTTGCTTATTTTGTCTTTCAGTTCAACTTTGTGGGGAAACTTTTGGGCCCACGTGGCAATTCTCTGAAGCGCTTGCAAGAAGAGACATTGACAAAAATGTCAATATTGGGAAAAGGATCCATGAGGGACAAAGCAAAGGTAAAATTGCTAGCTGGAGATCATTAGTGTGCTCTGTGCTGCAGTGTGTGTGTGTGTGTGTGTGTGTGTCTTTCTTTGCTGATCCTAGTGTAGTCTGGGGAGAATCAAAGCAAACACGAATTGAGCTGTGTGGTGCCTCCATCTTTTGTATTCTGCATGCTTACCGGTCCTCCTCCCGTAGCGTGGTCCTGTCTGCCAGGAAATCCCCAGTGATTATATTTGCTTGATGGACACAGACGAGTGCATCCCTGGCTGGAACGTAATGGGGGTGGGGAATGTTGGAGCCCCTCATTGGCAGCCACCCTTCTACGTAGAAAGTGTGCAGTGCGAGCTCACCGTCCTGTGGCTTTTCCCACCTCCATTGCACTTCAGTGTCTACTGCTTTTGTGGGACTGGGCAATGGGGAGGCCGAGAGAATTGCAACATGGCCGTGCCATATCACACAGCACCTAGGTGGGCTTTTTCTGGAGACGTGGCAAGCCGCCTTCCCCTCATGGCCATTCTGAGCCGGTGAAGTGGAAGGCACAGGCTGTTGCTTATGGTGGTTATTCCCATCCAGGCCTGTGGAGTTGCAGGGGGCCTTGCACGCCATCCGAGCCCTGCCTGTTGCAGGAAAGTGATCCCAGCAGTTGGCTGTCCCACAGATTCCAAGGCACTGCTGCAGCCGTAGCACTGCTTGCTACGAAGCACCACATCCTCCTTGCTGCTTTTTTTAGGTATCTCACGGTCAGGCAAGGCTGCTCTCTACCACCCCAGGCGGCACTCATTGCTTCCGACACTGTCCAGTCTCTCCCCGAGGCTGGCTCGCTCACCCCCATTTCTCACACACTCTGTTCCTTCATTTAAATGCAGTATTTCTGCCCCACCATTGTTCCCCACTAGGAACCCAAGGCTGACACGGTCCTCATCTTGGCCATTTTATCCTCACAACAGCCTTGTGCTGCAGCTTTGGTGGAGAATAAGTGGCTGGCCCAAAGTCATCCAGTGAGCTTGGTGGCTGAGAGGAGACCAGCTTCTGGATCTCCCAGGGCTCAGTCCAGTACTCTAAGCATTGTATGATGCTGCCTCTCCTTGACTTCCCAGTGGCCTGCTTTGTACTGGCTTGTGAAGCAGGTGTAAAAGATCCCTAACATTTCTCAAAATCCTGGATGTTATGACTAGTACCCACAACTATTTTATATCCCATCTTAATAGTTGATTATATTAGTGGGAAACACTGCAATGGCATTTTTTCTGTTTAGACCACCATCAGCTTAGACTTCATCTGGAGATGTAGGTAAATCACATGATTTTAAGAGTCAACAACAGCAACTGTTTTTCATTTTAATTAAATATGCAGTGTATATGGACATATACTTGTTTATACTTTTATTATTGATAATATATAAATACTATGGTGAGTAATGCATATCTCTTGAATATACATGTGTGCAAGGAGAAGAAAATGTTCAAAAGGCATGGAGATAACCACCCAAAGGCTGAAACGATGAAACTGGTTTAGCTTGTTCTCTCTGTGGGGGTTTTCCTGGCTACCATGTTCTCAGGAACTCTAAGATGAAGTAACATTCTGAATCCTGACACAAGATGTTCACTTTCCCCAGTACAAGATGACCATCATGGTCATTACGGAGGGACGTGCAGATAGAGCGAAGATCAAGTAAAACAATTGGTTGACCTTGATTCAAGCCGACTTGTGCATGAGAGGGAGGAAACAGAGACCTCTGACACCTGGCGCCGTCGTTATTTGTTTTTTGGCGCCAGGCGAAGACCTTTTTATTCAAATGTAATTTTAATTGTTGATAGTATTTATTAATTTTATTCTTTGGCCAGGGCGACTTAATTTATACAGTTAATTTATATTATTTTATGGAAGTTTATTTATGGATATGAGCCGCCCCGAGGCTTCGGCGAATGAGGCGGCATAGAAGTCTCCTAAATAAATAAATACCCATAAGCATTTCAAGTACCAGCTTTTCTGTTTGCTGATGTGATGCTCTCTCTTCTTCTGAGGCAAGGTGATGAAACTTAGTCACAGGACTGTGATCCCTGGATTGAAATCAAGCAATTTTCATTGACTTGAAGTCGAATAAAAGTATGAATGTGATATCAATCATTAAGTCAGGCCAGCTTGCAAAGCCCGTAGGGCAGCAGATGTTCAGATGGGATAACTCTTACCATCTCAAGGTCTTAGAGTGAGTAAAACCTGCAAACATGTTCCTTCATTAAATCAGTAAAATTTGGTGGCTTGAGTGGGAATTGTTCTAACTCGAATTCAGACACTGTGCATTCAGAGCATTTCCGCCACCTCATTTCTCCTCTTCCTGCAGCAACATCCTGAAAAGTCTCCATCCCTTAAAAGATGGGAACTTTCTGGAGCAGGAAAACATTAAACTGGTGTCACCACCTTGCACCGCTGTTGGGATAAAGGAAGCACCTTGGAATGGAGTGCGTTTGCAGCCACACGCATATCCCGTCTCTCCCCCGAGGCTGATGTGCTGGGAGAAGGTCTGGAGCTCATCAGGGGTTCCGTTGTGCTTCCACCGGCTTGGAGGTACTAGGGAGAGTGCGGCACAATTGTGGGGATGGTCCTCAGCCGCTTTCCCCAGCTTCAAACTCTTGAGTGCCTCATTGGTTATGATGCTGTGCCATTGATTCAACAGTCGCACATGTTACTCTTGCCTTGTGAGGAATCATTCATGCTTACCAGTGATGGTGAGGTCTCACTAGGAATCTACATTTAGGTATCCTGCATTCAGGCCCAGCCCTGTGATGTCTCTGTTACCACAGTTATCTTGGTCTAGGTAAAAGGTTTTTGAAAACCTAATGCGAACTGTAGCAATTGCACCTACTGTCTATCTAGTAGAACAATATGAATAAATATTTTCAGGACAGTGGTGATAGCCAATGTATAGATAAATTCAAGAGGGGATGTCCGCTAAATCTCATTGACCCTGAAAGGCTTCGCAGAACTTGGTGGTCACGGCATCTATAGACTGATGGCTTCTCATCCACCCTAGAAACCAGTTTTGTAGGACTACAAAACATTAACGCAGGATTTCTAGGCTGTGTCAATGGAAAATCCCATTTCCAAGCCTAGTTCCAACTGAAGTCGGGGACAGCTGCTTCCGAAGGCTGAGAACCATTGTCACTGGGCACGGTCTACCAAAGGTTTTGAATACTCCTTTCTTGTTGTTTCAGAGGAAAACAAAGATCAGAAAGCCATGCCCTGAGTGATTATCTAACTTGTTATCTTTAAAAAATAGGTATATCTGCTCTCAGTTACAGGGAACTAGAAGGTCTGCCCCTTCCTGAAAGTCCTTCCCCAGACTTTGAAAATCTGTCTTAAGTGCAGTCTATTATGTCTGTACAATTTTAAGGGCTAAGAACATGTTCTTCACAAAAGAAAAGAGATACTCAGAATTCTGGATTTTGTACATTTGTTGAATAGGCACAGCTTCATGTATGTCTCCGACTCCTAAATCCCTCTTTGTTGGTGGGGTTGCTGGCTAGGGCTGAATGGAGTTGTGGGCCAAAAGACCCAGAAGGTCACGAGTTGCCCACCCCTGCTTCTAGTGGGGTCATACTGGCCTAAGTAAAGACGTCATGAGTTGCCCTGCAAATGATTATTGGTTGAGCAGGACCTAAACTCTTGATTGTGTTAAACCCTACTGCCATATGCATTTGAAAGAAGAGCCTCTCACTGAATGGATTGAAAATCCCAAGCCATTTTACACTGGTTTGTCACAAGTACAGGCAGGGCTCTCTAAGTCCCTCTTCATCTGCCAGGCATTTCCCCAGTAATGTATTTCCACGATCTTTATGCTTCTCTTTTCCTTGCAATGCTCCTTTGCAGTTTACTTGGCCGTCGCATATTTGCAAGACTTTATTACATTTTTGTCTTTGAATCCTGGCGACTGCCTTTAAATAATCTTGGGCCTTTCAGGATTGTTCAGTAGAGTATTTTTTACAGTGCTTTGTTTAGTGTTCAATTATTCAGTAGACTGGGGTTTCTTCTGCTTCCCAAGGGAGATTATTAGTGTCTAACAGATCTCACTGTTAAGAATTATTTTGTGATAGCTGGCTTAGATTTCTCTATTGTAGATTTCATTTTTTTTTTCTTTTTGGTGAGGCCAAACTGTTCTGCCTCTGGTCTTCCTTACATTGCTCATATGTTAAAAAAAATTACCCTCATTTTTCAAAATCCTACTTCATTATATGCAAGTAAGACAACCTGCTGCTAAAACTTTTGAATACAAATCTTGATCCCGAAGGTTTTACAGCTTAATGTCACAAATAGGGAAATAAAGATAAAAAAACAACAGCTAGAAGGGTAATATAGAGGGAGGTTTTAATTTATATATATTTCACTGTTTCTATTACCAGCTTTGACAAGTTTCAGACAGCTAATTATGGTGTGTTAATTCCCCTGCTCTGAATTTGCTAATCAACTAATCAGATTGCTTTGCTTTTCCATCCAATTTAGGCAGTCTGAATGCTCTAAATTTTACAACAAAAAGATTAGCAGCAATAAGCTGTTACTGATTGTCATTCCTAAGTAACTCATAATTACGACACACCAAGAACAAACAGGAGAGCTTTTCAAAAGTCAGTCAAACTTCTATTTGTAGCCCTATTTGGAAGGAAAGGTGCTAACACAAGAGTATTTTTAACACTTGTTAAATCGAGCAAGAAACATTGTTAAAGGATCTCAACATGACACAGGAGTAGTTCAGAACAATCCATGTATTTTCTGAGGTTAGGAGAAGCCAGAGAGCTACTCCACAGGGTGGGATTTGTTCTTTCCAGGGTGTCTTAAACCAACCATCCATGGTCCTGTGCACAGGGCTGCAACTGGGGAAGGACACACCAGCCCTTGGCACCCTCTAAAATGTACTGGACCCTGTCTCCTTTTTTTCTCTTCCTCTTCCCGCTCTGTAACCACCTCTCTTAGTGCAGTGGAAACATACAGCCAGTATTTGATCTAATTTCCAGTAAGAAGCAAACCCATTCCTGCCTGCCAGTGAATGCAAAGGGATGATTGATATAACTCTTAATTAAGTGAACAGGCCCATCCAGCTGCAGTGACCTGGCAGTGTTTTCCATAATCACAAGAGCGTAGCTTTCCCCCAGGTTCTGGGGTGTTTTGTTTCCTCTCCCTTTCTTTCTGCAAAGGACGAGAAAATCAGTCGGGAATAAGGGGCGCTAATATACTTGCTGAGATCAATCCCACCCCCAGCCACCCTCTTGCAGTCTTCACGATTCATTGGTCTTACCTGTAAGCCTTCTGTGAGGGTCAATAGCATCTGCTAAGTATCTCTGTATTGCAGTTGCCAAGCAACTGAGGCAAGGAAGAAGGCCAAGAAAGAGGATCCAGAGTGGAAGTAACAGTACTTGGCAAATGAAAAGAGCTATGATGAAAGTGAAAAGTTGGAGCAAAAGGGGAAGCTGCTGGTTGGAGAAGAGACAGCAGTTTAGAAGAAAAATAACACAGGTCTTCCCAGGCCCTTCGAGTAGACAGTGGGGTTGCTACCTTCTATTTTTAAACATACTAGTCCCTTGAAAGAGACTAGAGGCAAAACCTGATAGGTTGAGGGTGAAGCCTGGAGGAACTGGCAGGTGAGGAGAGGAGCCAGGGCAGAGTCTGGCAGATCACCTAGCTTTGCTGCTTCGAGCAGCAAAATGCTTAGCTTGTTGGCAAGTGTAGGTGGGCAGTGAAGAAGATGATAGACTCTTTGCACCTTCTAGCTTATGCCATGGAAACAGAAATAATTAGTTTGAGCTGAAATTTAAGAATGCAGGTTGGGTTTGATTTTATTTTTTCACCCAATCGGCATTTTCCTGTGCATTTTCCATGATTATGGCAGCTTCTGGCCTATTTTCCATCAGCGCTCAGCCTAATATGGGTTCAGCATGCAGTTCCTCATCTAGCAACCTTGCAGCTAACATATTTCTAGAGATCCTTGAACATCGGTCTCTAGAGACATGAAGGGTTATCCCTTGGAGTGAAGTAGAATTGCCCACCCTTGGGAACATGCTCAGAGTTAACAATCCACTTTGCATGCCTCTAAAAACATAATCCAGATGTTTTTGACTGCAACTCCCATCATTTTGACCATTGCCTCTTAGTTGGGGCTGAAAAGGAGTTGCAGTCCAAAACATCTGCAGTCCACACTGTCTCCCTTAGAAGAAATGGATCCAGGTACACTCCCAGCTATGAAGGCAGTCGTGGAGAAAGAGCCCAGCGTTCCTCCTCTGATAGAGAGGTGTGGCTTGGCAGGTAGATGGAGCGCCAGAGGCCTTAAGACTTGCCTCCTGTGACCTCTTAATTAGCAGGTATAATGGTGGACTTGCTTGTCCTGGTGAAGAGCAAGGCAGCAATACCTCTTGAACTCCTGTTCATTCTCCCCTGAAGAGTCATGCAGCACGGTGGTCAGGAGAACCGCTTTCCTGAATCAGGCTGCCTTGAACCTAGACCAGTCCTGTGCCTCTGGCACCAGGTTGCCAAATGCCTAGAGGTCCTCACAAGTATGACAGGGAGCTAGTGGGCACAGCTTGCTACTGCTTTGTTAGCATTTTGGCCTCACTCTTCATCCCCATGAGTAGGAGGCTCCCAGAGCCCCTTACAGAACAGCCCAAAATGTATTTATAAATAAAGATAAAGACCGTCCCTGTTTCAGAGGCATGCTGTGACTGCATATGGAGGCTCCATGAATCCAGTGAGTGAGTTACATCAGGTGATTCTGAGCTCAGAATTTTTCTGGGATAAAAATCCCCCCGCCCATCATGCGGATTTTTTTTTAATAGCTGCAAAAAATAAAAAAGCTGAGAACATCTTTGCTGTCTGATATTGAGAATCTTTTGCCTAAGGACCATTCCAGCATTCCCAAAGCCACTGCTCTCCAGGTGTTTGAAGCTCCACCTGCCATCAGCCCCCCTGCATGGCCACTGGTTGGCGATTAGAGGGGCTGCGGCACAGAACATGCGGCGAAGAGGCTGGGAAGGAGCGCTTGTTTCTCGCATGCACAGGCAGCTGAAGTTCCAGGATGAAAGGTGGATCAGTCTAACTGGAGGCTCACACACACATCCGTTTCCTGGGCCTTTGTTTTGACACAGTCAAGACTCAAGAAGAAGATCAGGGAGCATTCAGAGGAAGTTAAGCGTGGCGCTCTCTCCCTCCACACTGGCGTGTGTAAGCGTGTGCACCATGACGCACAGCTCTGATCTCTCTGAATCAAATGGGCTGCAGTTGTGTTGAAACTGAAAAACGTTTCCCTGAGAGCAGTGTGCGGCCAAGGAAGTTCATAGCTTTGGATCTAAACCCATGTGCGTTTATGGAAGTGTGTGATTCAGTCTGTTTAGCAGTCTGTGCTAATGTTATTTTATATCTTGCCTTTTAGAGGAAGTCCTTGAGTGCAGCTTAGAGGGGTTTGTTTGTGTGTTTGTTTTTTAAGAAGAAATAAAAGATAGGGATATCAGACGCTGCCTTATATACTAAATCCAGTGTTTAGTGTCCTAGCCCAGTATTTTCAGTGCCGTCTGGCAACACCTGTTCAGCGTTTCAGACTGGAGCTTTTCCAGCTGTACCCATAGAGGGCAGGGGTTGCATTTAGGACCGTCCGCATGCAGAGGAGGAGTTCTCTGGTTCAGCCACGCTCCGCTTTCACAGGGTACAGTCTCTCCCCATTTAATGAAAAAGGAATATCACTGGTATAGACAGCACTCTTCATCCGTATCTTCCAATGCAGGATTCACTGAGTTCTATAATAAGCAGTGGATGTTGCTCCTAAATGGGAATTCTCATGCTTTGTGTTTCATCCATAGTGGCCCGTCCATGCCACAGAAACTGCTTGAAGATTGGTAAAGGTTGGTAGCCCCATTGCTTATAATCATCAGGCTCTGCAAATGTGGGAGCTTCCAGATGCTTTAGGCTGCACTTCCCATCCCCTCGGAACATTGCCAGGCTAACTGGGGATGATGGGGACTCGTGGCTCCCTCCAGATAATTTAACTACTTTCAGGGAATAAATGAAAATATTTATGGTACAATAAAACAATGTAAGCTTACATGGGGTTTTAGTCATTCCATTTCAAGAAAAATGCACGATTCTGATTGGCTGGGGCCCACTTCTGTTTTCCTTTAGATCTAAAGAGTAAACTTCACATACCTAATAACTGTTGATCAAGAGTCATTGTGGGCACTTACTCACTCTTGAATGTCTGATTTGAGAGACTGGTCACACATCGTTGCTTCAGGTATTATGGATTAGATTCTCGCACATTTCAAATGCCAGTGTGCCCCCTTCCCCTCCCAATTTCAAACTAGTCCGCTGGCTGTGGTTCTCACTCCATCACAGGCAAAACCCAGCTTTATTCAGGCGAGGCTTTTGGTGTGCAAGCAGATCTTTTGGGCTGACTGTTTTTACTCTGTGCTTTTAATGGTTCTGAGTTTGGGTTCAGTATATTCACTTCTTGCTTTTATCAGCGGGTGCCACGTTTGGAAGTAAAGCAGGATACGGATCATTGAGTGTATGGGCAGCCCATGCCTGTGATGATCCTGATAAATACAGTTGCTTTAGATATAAGTATACGTCACGTGTACCTTTGCACACTTGTGATGTGGGAAATGGCCCTGGTGTGACTTCCTTCATCCATCCCTGTGGCAACATCCTTCAGTTAAATTGCCAGGGGGTGGAATGGGAAGGGCTCCGATGCACGGTTAAGGTGGGGCATGCGCTGCACTTTTGAAATGCTGCTGCTGCTAACAGAAGGCGTCGTGCTACCATCAAACAGCTCATCTGGACGTGAAGGTCTGTGGGCATGCTAGAGACAGCAGACGCTGCCTTATGTGCTAGGCCATAAGGACCGGGTCCATCCCGCTCTCTTTGCCTACTAGAATGACTGGAAGCAGCTCTTGATGGTTTCGGAGCGGAGTCTTTCCCAGCTTTAGCAGGAGGAGCCGGAAGTTTTGCATGCAGAACGTGTTCCCTTCTATTCCCTTGTCTCATCTAGAATAATTTAGGAGACAATTTAGCAGGCCCCGAAACAGTATCTTGCAATGCTTTGATTTAAATCATGAGGCGTCAACTCACCCTGTAAGTTTGTTCCAGACTCATTTTGATTGAGGACTTTAAAAAAAAAAGTCTAAAATGACAACATTGCTTTTGTTTTTCTACCCCAAACAGTGATTCTCTCTGTGTTGCTTTTTGTCTTTCCAGGAAGAAGAGTTGAGGAAAAGTGGAGAAGCAAAATATTTTCACCTAAATGACGACCTGCATGTGCTAATTGAGGTATTTGCTCCACCAGCAGAAGCATATGCCAGGATGGGACATGCACTGGAAGAAATTAAGAAGTTCCTCATCCCTGTTAGTACATATTCTGTTCTTTCTTATTTCAGCTGCTCTGCATGAAAAACATCCCTCTTTTTATGGGAGAACATTTTGGAGGGCAGAATATAAATATAATCTTGAAGATTAACTTTGTCAACACTGTGGTCAGAAAGGTGTTGTATTCTAGTAAGTTGCTTCTGCTAGGCATGGCTTCCTTTCCTTAGAAGAACACCATAAAGCCTTAAGCTGGCATTACCATGATTTCTACCCTGTTTGTTTTATGTCTCGCCAGTGACTAAAAATTCAGTTGCATTCCAGACCAACTGGCCACCAGGAAGGCCAAAAAGCAGAAGTTAATCCCCTCTCGAGTGGAGATTAAGCAACCACAAATAGATGTAGCCCTGTTTCAGTCCTCTGTCCACAGTGTCTTCCATGTCGGCTAAGGAAGAATATTCCTGAAGTACAGTGTATTAAATAGTTTGTCAGACAAGAGTCGACTCTTGCTAATCATTGGGGCTGAATCAGCCACGAGCAGCATAAGTCCAGTTGCTTTCAGCAGGTCTGTCTAACGTATGACTAAGTGTGGAACCTACTCATGGTGTCCTGTTGACCAAGTCATGAAAGAAAGATGCACCTCTCCGTTAGAGAAGCTATATAGCATGTACCTTCTGAATACCAAGTGTTAAGCTAAAAAAATAATAAGGGAAGGCCGACTGCTCTTGGAAATAGAGTGCTGGAGTAGATGGAAGTTTTGTTTGGTGTAGCAAGCCAGTTCTTAACAGTCTGCAAAGTCAGCTGGGGCTTAATGTATAATCTAGGTGATCAATGAAGAATGTCAATAGATGGACATAAAAGTATGCATAAAGAATATAGATTGGCTCCAGACCAAGTCATATTTAGCATAAGCCCATTGAAAATCTGCATTTTTAAATCTGACACAACTAATTTGATGTAACTAGTTGTAACTGCATTAACTATGAAGACCCTTATTTTTCTAGGTTTAATATCAGAGGTGCAGGTTTCCAACTTAAATCAGGAACCAACCGTGGTCTTAAATTCTGCACCTACTACTTTGCTGTATAGACAGTGTCTCCCACTCCCATCCCATCCCATCCCATCCCATCAAAACGGCTCTGCCTTCACAAGCATTTTGCATTACTGTGGCTGGTGTTGTAGCATAACGATAATGTGGGAACAATGAGCTCAGGGTGAATTGATGTCCAGTGTGCTTGGTGGGAAGCCCCACTGGTAAAAAGGGGTTTCAGCATCCCTACAGGTGCGCATATAGATCACCATTCAGATGCGAGATCTCCCAGCCCCATTGCTTATGCATAGTATGGCCACCCACTGGCCTTAGCCTTGTGGGAGCTGCCGCCTTTGTTAGAGCAATCAGCCCTCCTCAAATCCCTGCAGTGACTGTGCACTTGTGCCTTCAGACAGTGTGAATGTATTACTTCCCCTGCCCTGCTGGATAACTTTGCAGTGAAATTCCCAATGTGGCTTATATCATAAAACAACCTCCCCGTAACATATAATAATTAAAACTAGGGAAAAAAATCATTTCAAAAAGCATGGCAATCAGCTTCAATTTAAACACTTAAAATCCCCAGGTAAATAAAGGTGAAGAGGGGAAAGTAAGATTTGGCACCAATTGAACTTCTTAAGGTTGTGAATGCTGTATTTTTTATGGCTAAATATAAATAAATATAAGAAATTTACGTACAATCAAACAAGAGTTCTACACAGTCCAATATGCCCTGGAAGAGAACGGACATTTGCTGGAAAGTGGTAAATGTGTACCACCTCACTCATCTGAAACAGGTGCTTCTTTAGAGTTTCTGTCATGGCGTGGCACATGGAACACGTGAGCAGGTCACACATCTCCAACAGCAAGGCACTACAACCTGTAAAGTAGTCTTGCATTGACAGGTTGTTTGTAAATAAACGTAATATGACATTCTCACCGCATACCACGTGCTTTTCTAAGACGATTGCACCATAGCAGAGTTACAGAGGAAGGCTAGATAACCCAGCTTTGCCCCGCAAGAGCCTCCGGCCTTAGAAATCGGTGAGTTTCCCTGCTGAGGATCTATGTTTTCCTATAATATGCATGGTTGGTGTGTTTAAATTTTCAGCATTTAAATCTGTGTTCTATTAAGAGCTTTTATACTGCTTTGATGAATAGCTTGGAGAAACAGGTATTCCATTTAAAAAAAGAGGAACCAAAAGAGTGTGAGAATCAACTCCCAACCTGCTCCAAAATGACTAGTCAAATCATGTAGCTTGATGCAGAAGCTCAAAAATCCAATTCATTTGGATTTTCTGTAATCTAAATGCCTTAAGAGCTTTGCCTCTGTTTTCAGAAAATAAACACATAAAGAGACCTGAATAACTGCTCTCCTATAACAGCCGCAATATTTGATGGTGTACTGATACCTTCAGATGCCCAAGTGGAACCCACTGCACTTCACTCCCCATAGTAGTGAGTTTTTATGGTTTTGAGAACTTTCACACCTGGTGACCATGTGGAAGCCAGGCTATGGCCAAACCCAATCTCCCTCTGCTCCCAGAACCTTCAGCGAATGCAGTATCAAAGGCATGAAAACTAATCTTTGTTAGCTTATAGATCCATAGAGTTGCAAGGTCGGAAGGGGCATTGGGTCCAATTCCCTGCTGTTGCAGGACACCACGTTACACCATCCCAATCAGATGGCTGTCCAGTTTCTTCTTGAATGTCTCTAGTGTGGGAGAGCCCACCTCCTCTCTAGGCAGCTGGTTCCACTGTCATATTGCTCTGACAGTGAGGAAGCTTTCCCTGATGTCCAGCCTGAATCTAGTATGCTGTAGTTTTAAGATCATTGTTCTACGTCTTATATTCAAGGATGAGCAGGTCTTTTCTTTCCTCTTTGTGGCAGTCTTTGAAGTACTTGCAGAGTTCTATCATATCCCATGATAGTTGTCTTGAAGCTGAACATGCCCAGTTCTCCCATCGTAGGGCTTAGTTTCCAGACCCTGGATCATCTTTGTTGCCCTCCTCTGAATCCTTTCTAGTTTTTTGCAGCTTTTAAAAACCTGGCTGCCCAGAACTGAGCACAGTATTCCAGGTGAGATTTGACCAGTGCAGAGTAAAGGGGAACTAATACCTCTCTTGTTGTGGAAATGAAGCTCCTATTTATGCATCCCAAAATAGCATTTTCCTTTTTTGGAGGTGCACTGCATTCATAGAAGAGTTGAGTTGGAAGGGGCCATGAAGGCCATCAGGTCCAGTCCTCTGCTTTTGCAGGTCACCAGTTTATACCATCTCACTCAGAGGGCTGTCCAGTTTCTCCTTGAATGTCTCCAGTGTGGGAGAGCCCACCACTTCTCTAGGCATTTGGTTCCACTGTCGTGTTGCTCTGACAGTGAGGAAGCTTTTCCTGATCTCTAGCCTGAATCTGTGTCGTCACAACTTGAATTGATTATTCCGTGTCCTATTAATGCATCCCAAAATAGCATTTGCCCTTTTTGCAGCTGCATTGTATTGCTGGCTCATATTTAGCTTGTTATTTACAACAACTTCAAGGTCTTTTTTTTTCTTTTTCAGTGCTTAGGAAGCCCCAGTTAATTGGATCATGAGAGCTTAATGCAAGGTCATGAACCAGTTACTAGCATTCTTGGCAATCCTCTGTGGAGCCTTGTGCAGCCTTTCACCTGGTAGCAAGTAAAAGACTGGCTTGCCCAGCCATGTTCTTGCTCATTTGGTGTTTGTCTAAAATCTAAATGTATGGTGCTGCCATTGAAAAGCCAGGTAATTGTTTGGCAGTCTGTGCTGCTCAATTTACAAGAGCTGAGCAGGGCTGTGAAGGGCAGGGCGCTTCTGAGGGCATTTGTCCATGGGCCGTCATAGGTCAGATATGACTTAATAGCATGTAACAAGAATATGCTATCTCCACCTCCCCCTGTCACGACCCCAATAGTCTTTGAAGACATTTGTCTAGAAAAAGCCAGGCTCTTCTTCCAGTTTGGTTAATGAACTGTTTAAAATCATGAAATCCTGTCAGGACTGTTAGTAGTTTCAATAAAATCTCTTCGGTGGGAAAGGAAACCCACACAGAGAAAGGTTTGGAGTAAGATGAAAGAAGCTATATTGGACTCTGTCATCCCTTTTACTCTTTTATACAGCACTATCTAACTCAATTATAGAATCCCCTAGAATACAAATTGAACTCTGAAGTGCTAACATTAGCTCACTTATCTATTTTTGTGTCCTGGATGAGGAAAAGCACATCTTCTTTGAACGTGTAGGAGTATTCTTAGCTTTGAACTCTTCTATACATTTGAGAACCACTCTGCAAACTGCAAAAGAATTTTGTACTACCCTTGAAGGAACTCCGTGGAGAGTAGAAAAGTTTACTGCCTGCATCTTATTTATGATTTGGAGCTTCTGTCTGGACATCTTCCCAGTATTTTTAAATCAAGCCATTTTCAAAACATCAGCTCAGAAGCTGAATACAAATGAAGATTTCAATTCTCCTGCCAGATACCAACATCTCATCCTACGTGCACAGGCTGCATTTTGGGACTTTTTTCTAACTAGATCCATGTTTATTTGAATTGTTGACAGTCACCAGATCAACCCAAAAGATTCACAGTAAACCAGATTCTGTTCTGATTGCTGCAGTCTCGCCCTCCCCTGCCTCCAGCATTTCCCTATACACAATATCATGGTGAACTAACTTTAGAGCAAATTCATTAACGTGGATAGTCTCTGTCCACTGAGGTGCTGATAGGAGAAGCTTCAGCCAGCTGGTAGAACCAGCTGCAGGTGCGTCCGTGATCTCTCTTCCAACCATGGCTCAACTTAGCCACCGAACAGTGTTCGGCCTGTCCTGGCCTCATCGCATTTCATGTCCTGTTGGATTTATGTATCTGCCGTGCCGGCTTTTGCTAGAAGTCTGGCCTTCACTGTGTCTCACTATTTTCTGAGAAACTCTGGGACAGGAGGGGAAAAAGTGTGTGTTTTCAAGCTTCCTGCACTATGGAAGAATTTAGGAGCGGGATGGAAGTCTCCTTAATCTGCAGCTCACAGAACATTTAAAAAGGAGATCTTTGTGCTAGTATATGAAGTAGGAGCGCTTGCTCAGGTAATGGGAGGAGGGTGTCCTCGTGCTTTCATGGAAGCTAATCACCACCACCACCACCATTCAAGACCAGACTAGCACATATTATTCTGCAAAGCAGATGGATGCTTGGGCCTCGACTCTGCTAAGCACTCTTAGGCTGGAATGCCTGAACATCACCAGGCTCGGCTTCATTCAGGACGGCTGTGCTAAAGGCAAACAGGTGTGCAATGCCTTTTATGCACTCATGCACACATGCCCAGCTATTTTGCCTGGCTTTGCACTGTTGAACTCAGCAGTCCTTGCTTCAACTTATTAAAAAGGGCTTAGAAGTATGTCCTTAAGGATCTGACAGACTGAAAGAAAGATAGGCCGTGGCAATGAAATGGAACATCTTGATACCAGCGCTAGGGACAAACAGGAGAATGCCACGGTCACCCAGTCTTGTTGTGAATGGCCAAAGGTATATGGATGACTGTTGCTGAAAATACTAGCCTGGAGAAGATAGACCTGATCTGTCAAGGCAGTTCCTGCCCTAGCTCAGTGGTGTAAAAGAAGAGAAGGGGTGTCAGTCTTTGGAAGCAGTTTAATGAGGTTTGAAAAACAAGGATGTAAGTGATTTCTTGTATCCCATGAGAACATCCTTGTTTCAGATCTTTTCAGTGCATCTTTTAAAAAACAACATCCAGTAGCTAGCAAAAAGGAGTCTCTACTGGTTCTGTGCCTCCCTCTTTCAACTGTTTGCCATATATTTGCATCAAGAAGAAATACAGAACGGCTTTAAATATTTGACCACTGTCTTCAGAGAAAAATGAAGACATGTCTTTTTTCTCTCCCCCCCCTCCCCCGGCTAGGACTACAATGATGAAATCCGACAGGCGCAGTTGCAAGAACTAACTTACTTGAATGGTGGTTCTGAAAATGCGGAAGTCCCAGTAATCCGTGGAAAGCTACCTCTACGGGCACGGGGAGCACCAGCCCCTGCTTTGGCAAGGTAGGTGCTGCTCAGTTCTCTACCTTCTTCATGGTCTCCTGCATATACGTAAGCTGTTTGGACTCCACATCAGTGCAGAGCCCCATTCGGGAAGCGTCGATAGCTGAAGTTGATCAGACTTGAACTCAAACATCATGTATGCACCTTAACAGATACTGCTTGAACCAATGTAGCTTGGTGGAAGAATTTTGCTTTTTGTCTTAAGCAACAACAAATATATTTTAAAATATGGCATGCTGGTATAATAGGAAGCCACGTTCAATGCACTAGAGATGTAAGATAAAGCATGCAGGTCATCTGTACCCCAAGAAGGCCTGCAGAATTCCACAAGTCTCTAGATTTGAGAAGGGAAGTCTTCTGAGATAAGGGGAGGTGAGACGATGATTTTTGCAGGGAAAATTGATTTTCTGTGCATGTCTTGTGGTCAGTGGTGCTCATGTGGTTTGTGCATTATGGGTGTTAATGGACCAGTAGCTGAAAAACAGAACAGGAAGCCAATGGGCAGTCCTCACAGTGGGGGCATAGAAGAAGGTGGGTCCACCAAGGATCTGTGTCAGGGTCAGTGCTTTTTAAGTTGTATATGAACGACCTGTGGCTGGCTCACACACCCTAGGAATAAGCCACAAAGTGTGAGTTATTCACTGAGCAACACATGGTGTGCCCAGCAAATGCTTGGGTTCACACAGTATATTTTAACCTTTCTGGTGTTCAAATTAGTTGCAAAAAAAATTGCAGCTAAGTATGTTTTGTCGTGGGAAACACAAATCAGTTAATATGCTCCTCCTGGCTTTGCCTTTATTAGAACTTCCCATGCTGAAATCTCTATCTCCTCCAGCTTCCAGCAGCAAACAGCCTGACAATTGGACAATTGCACGATGAAATATATCTGAAATAGTCATGCAGTCGGGCACATGAGGTTGGAAGCATATCAATGCGCACAGAAAATCTATGGCTCCATCGTGTGTCTGATTAGACCTACTCTGGTGTCAACAGTCCTCCCTTGTTTTTGTTTTGCTTGGAATTCTGGAGGAGATTGCAGTTCAAAAGATCTAAAAAGATCTACTACCAATGCTACATGGTACCTGAATCACACAAACCATATGGGTAAGGTCGCAAATGACCACCTGAAAAACCATAGTTACAAGTAAGCAATCTGCCAAGAAATGCATGACTAAGACTGATTTTCTGGTGCCTGAGATAAGCTTGCTTTCCCCATCCTCTTCAGAACATGTGCAGCAGTTCCACCGATCCCTTCCTCAGGCATGATGAATAGATCTGTTTGCTCCCCGGACTTTGTGAGGAAATCTAGCTGTATCATGTTTGAAGTATTAAATATTCCTTTTCTTACGTTCTTTATTCCAGTCTCTGTCTTTAGGTCGTAGTTGTGGAATTGATTGATTAATAGGACATACTTTTGTGTTGCATCAGCCAATAGTTTCTTGATATAAGCACACATTCGCTGGTTTCTTAAAAAGCAGCTGCAGCATGAATTCCAGTACATCAATCCATCTTGGTTGCCTGAGCACTAGCAACCCAAGCTACTAAGATCCTGGCTACAAACCACTGGAAATTAATGGCTGCTTCTCAAAAGCTTGTGCAGAGAATCCTTTGCAGCGGGGGCTGGGGATTTAGTACCCCCTAAATGTCTTGTCCTACAGTGCCCATAAACCCCAGCCAGTATAGCCGAGTCACATCCAGAGCATCGCGCTTGTCCTCTCTGCTGAAGTGCAGATCATGATAGGTTTTAACCGAAGTAGCAGGGATCTCAAGGGATTCCAAACACGTAGCCAAGATGCTCATGCAGCACGGAAGGGATATATGTAGCTGAAGCTCACACCTCATGTCAGAAGGGCCCTTAGTGTTTGTCATGTGGGATGCCTACCATTTGGAACCGGGTGAGGGCTATGCAGGAGGTGTGTCCAGCATAGAACTGCTGGCACCAAACGGCTCTCCAGGTTTCAGGCATGTTCTCCTCCTAACTCTATGAGGCAGTGTCGAGGATTAAACCCGGTAACTTCCACATGCAAAGGAGATGCTGTGCCACTGAATTGTGGCCCAGACTGGATGCTTACTATTCATTCTCTACCACAGCCCACTTCTGGAATCATCGCATAGCACACGGTTCTCAAACGTGGTCCGTAGTCAGGTGGTTCTTGATGTTAGAGGTTTTTAATATAACAAATGTAATATAAGAGACCACATGCTGACAAGCAGAAGAGTTTCCCATGTTTTATGGCTCGTCAGCAACAGTGTGGACTTCGCCAACTCAAAGTCCTTGACAGTCCTGGGGCTTTGCCTCCTCCTAGCTGAAATAAGCTGAAATGGTTCAATCCTGTCCTGAAATTAAAACAGGCCCTTGGTCATCTTGATCATGGCTCTCTAGTGCGAGGGTGCCATATGGCTGCAAGTGGTGCACACATTAAATACTATTTGAAATCTGAAACATCTTGTGTTTATGTTGATGTGTGTTACATGCTTGAGGGCGGATGCAGCTAGGGGATTTCGACTCCCCAAAAGGTTTTTTGATAATAATTGTTTACTGAGATTAGGGGAACATTTCATAAGTCCATCAGCAGCATATTTGCATACTAATTCATAGCAGTGTCTCATTATAATGTGGCTGATTTATCTCCTGGACGCTTATGGCTGTTTTATAAATGAGGTTGCCAATTAAATAGTGGAACCACCATACAAACAAGAATTTCCCCTGTTTTACATCCTTGTTAGAATGCATTTGCTATTATGATATTTGAAATGTAAGCACACATGACGTTAGGAACTGATGGAACATATTTTGGGAGTGAAGTGGGCATGCCGTTTCGGGGCCCGAGGGTTGATTTGCTACCACTGTATGCTTCTACTTGCTGATCAGTTGCATTGAGATGCTGCTTGTGTAATTTCTCGGTTACATCAATGCACATGCTGTTTCTGAATATACTTGCCATTTCTTTGCATTTTGAATTCTGCACTTCAGGTGAGATTATGTCCAAAATAAAATATGGATTGCTGCTGATCTGTGCATGGCACAACTGAGGGTGGCTTGTGTGTGCTGGTGATTGTGTAAGTTGGTAGCCCACAAAACAAGAAGTACTTAAAGAGGCTCGAGAACTTTCTATAGATGGGGGGAAACTTGTATTTCAGAGGTAGAGAATGTTATTTCAGAGGTAGAGAAATATCTAAATAAACTGCTTTAATTAGATATCTACCATTTCGTGATCCGTCTGTTCTCACTGTTGTCTCCCCTAGTAGTGATCTTGAAACAGCCTGTAAGGAATGCTTCATAAAGATAGCTGTTCCTTCTCAAAGAGGTACTTGAAATCAGTCTCATTCACCATTTCTCTAGTGCAGGAACAGGGGAGGTGGGGCCTCCCAGGTGCTGGGCTTCATTTCCCACAATCCACCTCTTGGCTGTGCTGCCTAGTGCTACAGTCCAATACCATCTGGAAAGCACTTGTTCCCTGTGCTTCTCTAATGCCTTTTCTTTTTCTGTCTCACAAGCTTGTCCACCAAGACTGCTGATCATTCACTTAGTTCTTCAGATAGGTGTTCTATGTATAAGTTTGTGTGACTCTGTCTGATCGCTTCGTTATGATGGGCACTTATGCATTTTTATTCCATAGTAATCCTAATTAGGTGTGATATTCTGTGGAAGCTCTCAGGAAACATAGAAATTTGAAAAATTAAGATACTTTTGGTTAAATTGGTACTATCCAGGATTGTTCCCGCCCAGTCACTGTGTTGATCCATGCTTCACCGTTTGCAATGGAGACCCTTGTGGAGGATCAGCAGAATTTTTCTGTGGAAATTCAACTACTCTTTTGTTCTTAGAGCCCGTGGAGGTGTGCCACCTCCACCCGCAGGTGTTCCAAGAGGGGCACCTGCACCAAGAGGAATACCACCGGGCCGAGGACCTGTCAGTCGTGGCAGAGGTCTTCTAACTCCAAGGACAAGAGGAGTTCCTCCATCTGCAAGCTACCGGCCTCTTCCACCACCTCCAGCACAGGATACCTATGGAGACTATGTAAGTACTAGCACCTAAATCTGAGCTGTTCTATTGTACAGAATGCTCCAGAAATCAGTAGACTTGAAGAACGATACACATGGATGTACCAGTGTTAAGGAAAACAAATGACTTCTGAGTCGTGGAATAGCAGTCACTGCACTTAGCCTCATCCTTATGCAAGAGCATAGATCTTCCACTGGGCCAAGGCCCAGCTAGTGCATCCTTGTGTTCACATGGTGGCTCACTCAGTAGCTATTGGAGGCCCACCAGCAGGACGCAGATGCTGTAGCACCCCCTGCTCCTATTCCCTACTGATTGTTGTTGAGAGACCTGATGCTGGAGTTCATATGGAGCCTTCATGACTTAATAGTAGCATTAATAGCCTTTTCCAGGAGTATGTACAATCCCCTTCTAAGTCCATCCCAAATTGCTGCCTATTAATACAGCCAAATCCATGATTTTAATAGGTATGTGAAACGTTACTTCCCTTTGTCTTTCCTTAGTCTCCCACTACTCAGCCTCATGGGATGACCTCAGGTTCTAGTGTTACAAGAGAAGCTTATCCACATTTTCTACATCATACTTAATGGTTTGCATCCCTATAATATTCTTCCTTAATTCAGATTGATTTACAATTAGTGTACCAAACCAAATTTAGGTACCATACTATAACCTGAAACAGATACATTGCCCTGTGACCTAGGATAATTGACTCTGCAAATTAAACAAAACTGGGTGGAATAGCCAATACCTGGTAGGCAGAAAAAAATCCAGAGTAATCTTGATAGGTTATATGCTGGGCTGAGAATAATAGCAAATTGAAATTCAGTAGGGGCAAATGTCAAGAAACTAAACGCATTGGTACAAGATGGGCAATACTTGACTCGGCAATCCTGCTGAAGGATTTCAGAGTTGTTGCAGGTCACAAGCTAAATATGAGTCAACAATGTGATATGGCTGCAAAAAGGGCGAATGCTCTTTTAGGCTGCATTAATAGAAGTCTCACTTCCAAATCAGGTGAAGTACTAATTCCCCTATACTCAGCTCTAGTCAGACCTCATCTAGAGTACTTTGTCCAGTTCTGGGCACCAGAGTTTGAAAAGATGCAGAAAACCTGGAAAGGGTTCTGAGGAAGACAACAAGGATGATCCAGAGACTGGAGGCAAAGCCCTATGAGGAACGATTGAGAGAAGTGGGCATGTTCTGCCTCAAGAAGAGAAAACTGAGAGGAGAAATGGTAGCACTCTACAAGTATTTGAAAGGCTGTCACAAAGGGGAAGGACGGGACCTTTTCTCAGTCGTCCTGGAGTGCAGGACACGGAATAATGGGCTCCAGTTACAGGAAGCCAGATTCGGGCTAGATATCAAGGGAAACTTCCTGACGGTTAGGGCAGCATGACAATGGAACCAATGACCTATGGAGGTTGTGAGTTAGAGTGAGGGAGGCTCTCCCACACTAAAGGCATTCAAGATGCAGCTGGAGAGCCATGCGAGAGGAATGGTCAGTTTGGTGCCTGACCTGAGCAGAGGCCTCCTTGGCCCCTTCCAACTCTCCTACTCTGTGACCATGTCCTGTGTTCTCAAGTTGCTGTAATATACTAAAGTACAGTCCAAATTTTCATCCTTATATCTGCTCTTAAATATATACCCTGTGAAAAGTACTTTGGATTTCACACCTTTCCCTTCATTTCTCTTTGGACAACCACCAGCTCTCTTGCATGTCCAGCGGAGAAGTATTGAAAGGCTACTGTGAGGAATGCTTTAGGGCAGGGCTGAGGAAACTGTGGCCTTCCAGATGCTGCTGGGTACAACTCCAGTCTTCCTTGACTTTTGGGGATGATGGCTGGGGTTGATGGGAGATGGGAATGCAGTAGCATCTTGGACGGCCATTGCTTCCTTCCCCAGAACATCCAGTCATGTAATGCCAGGTAATGCCAGGACTTGTTCCGTGGTATCATTATCACCTGTGAGCTCAGTGTGTGTCCCACACTCTCCCCCAGCCAAACACACACTCATTTGTGTTGCAGGGGACAGTCAGGAGCAGTGGACAAGATTGTCCATCGGTATTAATGGTCTGCTGAAAAAAAAACCCCGATTTGACTTTCTGAGAACCCCATCCTTGCCCTAGGATGCAGTTCTAGGGCATTGATTTTCAGAGTGTATCCCCATATCATACCTTCGATCTATGTTATATCATGTGCAAAGGTGATCGATGAGTGTGTTTATTAATGCTTTCCATGCCAACTGTTTCTCTTAGGTCCATCTTTACAAAATGCTCCCATGGCATGCTCTGCCTTGCTGGTAGCAGCATCTGTTGGAAAAGGAATATTTTAGGATTTAAGCAGTAAAGCTATACATGCACCCTGTTGCACTAATTGCACAATTAAAACTGTCCTAGTTGCCTATAAGATATATTCTAACACTGTAAAGCAGAGCAAAAGGGCAGCCACAGCTTGATCTTAAAGATTCGGATGGGCTCACTTTCAGAGTCTTAAACATGTTTCTTCAAACTCTGCTCTTGAAATAGCCCTGGTTAAAAACATGGCTTCAGGATTATCCTGCCCATCGCTTGGCCAGTACTTGTGTCCTAGAGTTAGTCAGGGGCACTGGTTTTCTTATGATTGTAAGCCATCCTGAGATGCTCTGCATATAGGGACAGCATATAAAAATTTTACACAAATACATAAAGTTACAGAAGAAATAGCTAAGCTAGAAATACAGGTGATAGAAAGTGCTATGATCTTTCTTAAAAGGCTCAGCATGATGGAGGGGAATGCAAATCACATCCTGCAGGTTGCAATTGAATTACCAATTTGGTGGCTGCATTTTGCAATTGTAGATTCCAAGCAATTAAGGAACTCAGTATCATATATTGGAGAGACTTACTGCACTCTGCAGGAATAGCAAACCATGTGTTACGTTTTTATACAGATGCACTTCCTTCATAGGCCTGTCATTTTAAAAAGGAAAGATTGGTTACAAGAGGTTTTGCCCATCTCTGAAATTAGCAAAAGAAATTTAATTAGACACTTCTGTGTTTTATTGATGCTGCTTTGTGTTGGCATTCACAAGTTTCATTGATGTCAGACTTCTCCGTGCCAGGACTGCTTGCATAATTTCTGACAATAAACTAATCTTTAGTAGCGTCAACTGGGTTGACTTTTCATGTAATGGGAAGCTTAATTAAAAGGGAGAGTACACTGCTTCAGAAATAGGAGTTGGTTCTTCTTTTTTGCTTTGTGCAAGTCATATTTTGTTACTACAAATAGTTTTAAGTCTTCACCAAGAATGTAAGGGACCTTAATCCTTCATAGATTTACTAGCAAGTAAGTTCCACATCATTCAAAGTGGAATTCATACCCCTTATTAATCCATACTCCCCAGTAAGTATGGATAGGATTACAGTGTGAGTTTAGGCAGTAGTTCATGGTGATCACATCTTTTGACCCAAGCCATGGTTGAGTTATGGCCAAGCCAGCTGCAAACACTGCCTGATCTCCAGTCACAGGGAAGCAGATGGCTGCTACCACTCTCCTTTTCTTTCTTGTCTTCTTCCCAGCATGCCTGGGGATTGTGGGCCAGTCCTCTGGCCATTCACTTTCAGACACTGGTCATGCTATTCATCCTAATCTTCAGACCAGTAGTAGGCAAGGGATGTAGCAATACATTCCATTCACTTCAGCGGCCGGAGCTGCTGGAGTAGCCCAGACTCATCATCCTCAGTGGCTCCAGGATGGCCACCCTTGCATGTGCGGGGTGTCCTCAGACCCTCTGGCAAGGCTGCTCTCTCACAAAGCGAGCAACCGACACAGGACTCTTTATTCTAGAGGCAGCCCAAAGAAGTGAGATTTGGCATAGCTTTGAAGAGACACTGAAGCACAGGATGACATCAGTTATATGACCTCACTCAGTGAGTTGGAGGCAGGACTACCCTGGTTTCTTGCTGCCTACCAAGCAAATGTTGCATGTTTGTGATACATGCATTCACATACCCTGGATTAGGTCTCACACTTGAGGGCTAATTTAGACGGTGCAAGACAAGGGGAGAAGGTTGAGATACAGACTCTCAGTAAACTGAAGAAGTGGAGCTCGATCAATGAACGGTATCACTAAATAGATGCACAGAAGAGTTTTACCATAGTTAAGTAGTAACCAATCGACCAAGTAGCTGGTTGTACACAATAGGGCGGGCATGTGCACGTGAGCGAAAGGTAGCTTGGGATATCCCTGTCCTTTAAACAGATCTGCTCCTGCCAGTCCAGGAACAGAGAAATTGATGGGAGCTTTGTCAGCTACCCTGATTCATAGAGGGCTAACAGGGGGTCTTGCAGCTAAGCAGCTAATGTTCTTCGATTCTCGCGGGAGTACTTGGAATTGTATGAGGTGCTGTTTGAAGCTCCTTTATAAATGGAGATCTGATGCAAAGCTACTGCATAGCTCTAGCGGTGCGAGGCAATTGTTGCTAATTATCATTGATAAAGCACCTAACATGTTCTAAGTGGTCTGCAGCAGAACTGAGCAGAAAGTGGATCTCCAGATGTGTGGGACTTCAGCTCCCAGCAGTGTGCTAGCAGAGGCTTTGGGGCATCGAAGTCCATAGCATCAGAAGATCTGTCCCTCTGTCCATCCCTGGAGATATTAAAAGAGAAGATAGCCCTGTCCGTGTGATCACAAATCTGCTAGATTTGATAAAAGTGGGTAGATGAGGCAGGAAAGCAGCCCCTGCAAGGGTCCTTTTTGGCAAGGAGAGGCCGAGGAAGGTCCCTGTAACCACTGCTGCCACTCTTGCGGTAGAGGGGGCCAGGCATAATACTCTTTGCCATGGTGCTCTTCCTGAGAGGCAGGGGAAGCAGCCTCCAAGTGACCCTGTGTCTCCCGGCTGGTGGCAGGGGCCAGAGAACACTTTCCATAAGTCCACGGACCCAGGGCAGCCATTAGTGCAATGTTGCCGGAGCCTCGTTCTCGTGGCTGCTGCCACACAAAGCAGAGCAACAAACCCAAGCTCAGCACTGTACGGAGAAGTGTGCCGTACACATATCTGAACTTAGGTTAGGCGTTCCCACAGCCATGGTTTATGTTGTGAAATGCACACAGAAGAATGCAGTGTGTCAATTGACATTCCTTCTGAAGGCTGGCTAATGAGCCAGGAAGCCTATCTGAGAAAGCTTCCCACTGTTCAGGTCCCTGGGAAGCTGCTGTTCTCAGCAGCTGAAGTTTTTACTTGAGCGGCGTAATGATTTCAAGGGTTACGAGACTGTGTTCCTTTAAAGTTTGGGGGGAGAGAGGGATGAGTGACTGTGTGGGAGGAGTTTGGAAGTGTGGGAGGAGAGAGAAGTAGATGGCTTCCATCAGACAGCAGTGACCAGTCGGAGTTGTGGTCAGCCAGCAATTTTCAGGATCTGGAAGAGCAGCCTTCTCATTAGACTCTCAGAAGGCTTTTCCCAGCACTGTAAGAGATGCTAAAGAAAAAAGAAGTAGAAAGCTGGGAGGACATCTTAGCAACTCAGGAGAGTCAAAACCCAGTATGCTCAGTATTATAGGGGTGTGGGAGATGGAAGCTGAGTGCAGAGGGGAAAGAGTGAACAGAGATCATAAAGAGAATAAAGACTGGTCAAAGCACTTTCAGAAGGTGGAACTGAGAGTGAGGAGTGACTGGGAAGGAAAAGAGTGCAATAGCTCAGTCAGATGTTATGTTATATGCTGTTTTATTGACTAAAGAAATAAGTTACAGAACATCTTGAAACTAATGTGCTTAATGTGCAAATAAAGTTTTATTTTGTTTATTGTTAAGTCAATGTCAACAAAGGCAGTTTCAATATCAGCATCTCATCCTTGGGACCACATAGTCCAAGAAAGGAATCTTACAGTGTTGAAGGAGAGGTTAATTAATAAGATTGGAATTCAATTCCTGGTGGCTGCATTACATACCCAGAGGGAGGGAAATATCAAGAAGTCAAGACACACCATATCCAAACATTATAGGAGTGCATTCTTGACAAGCAAATATTGGAGCAATATGCCCTTTGGAGAAAGAGGGGAGGGTTAAGATTCGTGGGCATTAGGTGGGCTGTCATAGAGCACTTTTATAATCTTGCCAAACATTTTCATTAGCATTTCTCTAAGGCATCAAAGGATCAAGGCTAAAGGACACTTATCACCCCCCGACCCCAAAAGATGCTCAATAGAAATGTATATAACATGACCAGACAGAGCTGTCCATTGTAAAAACCAGTGGTGGGCCTAATTCGTTTGAAATTCATAACTCTGAGATTTGTTTACAATTCAGAGAATATCAATTTATATGCAGAACTGGCCAAATTAGAATAAATGTGCAGCACTTGAAACCTCAAATACAGAAAACATTAACATGAAGATGTCAAACCTAATTAAGGGCAAGCTTTAAAGCATTCTTGAGCTCCACTTGATGATTACTATTTAAAGGAAATCTGTGGGTTGCAGGAGAATTTGAGATGAGTCTCTTACCTACATTTTTGGTGCTGTAGTTCAAGTGTGCCATTAAGTCAGATCATCCTCTTATATAGATGATTACTCCGAGTTTTTTCTTTTGCTGTGTAAACGTTACTTGCACACTTGTGCTGTAAGTCCTATAAGACAGGTAATTTTGCCATCAGTCACGCAGTAGAAAAGCTGTACATAGAAATGCATGTGGAGAATCAGGAAGGTGTCATGTTACAAATTAAAGCAGCTCCTGGGCATAGAGGAATTGCATAATCACTGCGAGATGATATGCATGGGAAAGAGGGAAAAGGTCCCCTGCTAATCATTGACCCTAAGTTTGGTATAAGCATCACAGTCTTGGCCCTTTCTTCTGAAAGGCTGAGCAGAACAGTTTTCCGCCCTTGACTGAGATCAGCTGTAGTGCCCTGTGTGTATCTGTTACAGACGGGATGCTATCTTTAGTGCCATTCTAAGCTGTAAGACCAGAATACTGGTGAGATCAGAGTATTGTCTGTCACCTTTTCCTGGATGAGTCACCGGAGCTGCCGAGGATGCTCTAGGGCAGCTGGAGCGTGTTCCAACATTCTTGTTGGCATTGGCAGGGCCGTGGGGCCATCGGGACAGACGCTGCTTCCTTTGCTAGCTTGGGCAGGAGGGGACATGCAGGTCTGGTTGCAGAGACCACTATGTTTCCACATTCCGGCAGCATCTGGGAAGCTCTTGGGGATTCAGGCAATGGGGGAAACGCCTGGTGATTCTCTCATGGACCCCAGGTGAGCAGAATTGAGGATGGGAGAAAGGGATGGATGGCTGATGGCAGCAGCTCTTTCCCATCTGCTCTGAAACTCCAGCAGATAACCCTTGGCCAAGATGTAGGTACATGCCAGATTAAAAGAGCAGGGGTCAACCCTAACCTTTGCGGTTCATTGAGTATTGCACTAACAGTGCAGCTTTGTCTTCCATTGCCGAGTCATGATCCAACGAACTATCCAGTGGACTCAGTGGAGTTTGCCATTTTTCCTTGAGCAGTTCCACGAACTGATCCTGAAACTTCTCTGTAGCAATAGGACCACTGTCCAAGAAACACTCGTCCAAAGCTACTTTGGTTGCTCAGAATTAGTTCCTCTATATCCAAAACCTGGAGGTCGAGTGGCCGCTGCACCATGAATACATTGAGATTTCAGAAGGGGGCACCATTTCTGCTGAACAATCAGAATTCTCAGAGCTGATGCAGTTGTCTTTTGAATTGTAACATTGCCTTTGCACTGGATTGTTTCTCCAGGAATATGACGACGGATATGGCACTTCGTATGATGAGCAGAGTTATGATTCCTACGATAACAGCTATAGTACTTCAGCGCAAAGGTAAGGGAGGGTGCTTTGTGCAAATGCATGTAGGATGCAGTGTGTTAATAGAGTGAGAAGCTTTAATTTTGAGTGACTCCCTTGAAATCTGCAGCCCTTGTTAAGGGGCAGAGGATCCCTGATAAGGGCGTGGAACAGAGGAAGCTGCTCATTTAGTGTTGCATGCTAGCCCGGCGTGGTCTCCTGGCTGGCAGAAGCCCTCCAGGGTCTCCAGTCCTTTTTCATCACTTGCTACTGGTCCTTTCCCCTGGGCCCTTTTGCGTGCATAGTGTTGTCATCCTGAGTTGTGGTCTTTCCCTGAGACTGAAGCGCTTCATCTGGCAGTCACTTTGGGACATAGCTCGTGACACGCTTTGTTCATCTCTGCCAGCTCTGGGTGAAATTGTGTTTTTAGCATAGTCGTGTCTCATGGCATGAACCAGGAGTCAGTCCTGCCTCACCAAGAGGCAGTCATCTTCTCTTCTGTCAATTCATCCCCTGGAAAACCCCTAGGTCATGGGAAAAGGTCATACCTTCCTGCCGTGCCGTAATGCATTAGTAGGTATCTGATTATACAAATACATTGACCTACTTACGATATTTTTGGCAAAAGCTAGCTTAACAAGGTAGCACTGTTTTAAAGTGCACTAGATAATTAGACTTGAATGCTCACTTAATAGAGTCTTCAGCCTTGTGTAGCTATTGTGTGAGCAGGTAAATATTAAATTCAAAGCAATCTGTAGGCTTTCTTTGAAAACCAAATATTTTCATAAACTATTGATGAAATTTCTTATACAACTCAGTCGAAATATATTTTTTTAAAAATGCATTCATGTTGTTTAGGACTAGCGATCGCCATCTGTTAGGTGGTGGGGGCCTAGGACAATGGCATCATTTTGATTCCCGTGGTCTAGCCATAAGTACACATTCTCATTAGTCCTAAGAAAATCCATTCCCAGCAACATAACTCATGGACATTTTAATGGCCATCTACTTCTGGTAGCTGGTTAGAATGTATATCGCGTATCCTTGGACGTGTGCTGGCTTTTAGTCACTTGGCTCTATTGTCTAAAGAGAGAAAGATGATGCAACTCTTTAATGTTGAGTGATAATGTTCAGCACAAATTAGCCACCCCGATTTACATATGTTTAATGAGACAAGCCAAGGCTAAGCCAGTCCAGTGTTCCACAGTGAACACAGAGGACAACAATATTGTGTAGATTTTGAAGGCTGTACATTGCTGAACACTTGTTTATATTGTACTCTGGTGATTTGGGACAAGCTGTTGGAATATCAAGCTGTCAGAAGCTAGGTTTTCGACACAAAGTTAAGAAAGCGAAATGGTCAGATGGCGATACAGGAGACGGCCAAGCGGGTCTGGCACGTTGAGCAGTCTTCTTTTGAAAGCCACCCTAAAGCAGTAGGTGGCTTGGTTTTCAGTAATTCTTCATCTAGCTGGGCTTTGAATTGCTGAAGTATAAACGCCTTGTAAACACCACCCTCCACATGTCTGTTCCTGTATTAATGTGTATGCTATCCGTGCATTATTTATACTTCTAATCACTTAACTCTGGCCACAATGTATTCATGGAATGCCGTTGAATTATTCTCCTTAAGCTCTACCCAGTAATCTTTCTCAGATTTAGAGACTCAAGAAATCCTTGAGTTCTTTGAATAGTCTAATGCTAGAATAATTTCATAAAAAAAACGCCCTCTGATTAGAGTCTAATGGAAAGACAGAATTTTAACAGGCACATTTGTAAAGCTCGGCAAATTGCAGTTTGGACATGTTTTGTGAAGACAAATTGTGCTGAAATTCAGATTCTGTTTAAAGGCGTTGCAGTACCCAATGCACACAGCCAGTGGCCTGTGCGCTTTGAAGGTTTCCAATGTCTTCCACACCAGTATTTGCAAAGATTGTAATGGGCAAATGCAAACCTTTGCTAATACATCAATTGCCGATGTCAGCTCACTATTTAATGTTCTCTAGGATGCATAAGATTTATCTCAGAGGAATTGTGGCATAATGGTAGGGTATGGAAACAAAGTCCACCAGGGAGATGTACTACATCATTTGGATTTAGCGCTGCCATCTGCTTAATAGCACTGAGATGACTACAGAGGTACTTATGATCAACCATTCATGGCAGTGACAGATGCCGCAGAGAGTTAACATGGCAGAGAATGAGGTTTGTCGCGAAAACTTGGATTATGTGACAAGGTTGCAGAAAATAGGGGAGGGGAAGCGGTTTGTCGGCTGCCCAGTTGTACTCCTTCTGTCTTTGGACCTGAGCATTGCCTGCCTCTGAGTTGAATCTGATTGGCTCTGAGGAGATACTGAGCAGATTTTATAGAACTGTTTGATATTAATCTGGCTTGGCCACCTGACAGAAGTCTGTAAGCCTTTGGAAGTGTAGCTGGGTAACTTTGAGGAAAATGTTGCTTGCTCTCCATTCACTCTAGCTGCCTAATATAAATTCAGCCAGGTACGTTATGCTCCCGCACAGTAGCTTCAGTATTAATGCTTTGCCAACTCATCACAGCCCTTTTGTACAATGCAGCTTCTTTATCCTGTAGGATCCAGTGCCTAAATTCCTGCCACACGTGCCCCTGTGCAGGTGTCCTATTCTTGGCTTTCCCAGTGTCCCAGCTGGCATGGAGTGCCTTCCATGGATATGGGTGCACAGACTTGGGCCCCACACAGGTGGAGCGATGGAAAGGCATGGCAGGAACGGGGCTTGGCTGCAGCTCTCCCCATACGCTCAGTGAGGCCAACCAGGAATTAGGATGCTCGAACTGAGCTGCAGACTAAACTAGTTCCAGATCCACTTCCGAACTGCTCAGATCCTCCGTGTTTGTGGACTGAATCAAATGAGGTGGGCGACCACTTGAAATGTGGCTTATGGCACACAGGAATGAGTGTACGCAGTTGATCTGGAAGGTTATGGTATGATTAGCATTGATATGAGAGCGTGAACAGCTGTACTTCAGTTGCTGTTTCTCAGTAATAGATGGTACAAACTTTGGCCTTTTGTGGGGTGTGTGTGTGTGTGTTTTAAATCGCTCTCTACCTTTGTTATTATGTTCATATACCACCCATCAACTGAGGCTCTCTGAGTGGTTCCCAAAACAAACTTAAAAGCTGTAACTTACGATAATGTATTTTATTTTTTTTGTACCTTGTTGATAACTACCCAGAGAATTTTGGCTATTGTCAGTAAAGGAATGAACAACGCCATCACCACCAACAGCTTAGTAAAGCACCATATAAAAACCATACATTTAAAACAGAATAAAACCAAAGCTAAGAACCAAGATAAAAGTTAGGAGCAGTATAAAGCTCTAAAAACACACTAATACCATTAAAGTGGAAAGAGTTCAGAATCCTAGGGAAATAGAGAGATGGTGCTGAAATGACCACTGTGCAGGTGCAAAGAGCACTCCGTAGCCAGGGTGCCACCACTGAAAAGGCCTCTCCTTGGGAAGTACCTGCCTCTCCCCATTCAACAGGCACGTTCTTACCCTGTTTGTATTGTTTTATTTGTTTGCTTTTTATCTCCCCTCATGGATTGTTCGGCACCATCTGGTCCATGCACCAGAGCGTATCAGCCTATTCTTTACCACTACCCTGGCTTTTAAAACGGTGTGTTGGGTTTTACTCATTTGTTTGTGACGGGGGAGCCACTTAAAGGAAGCCTCGTTGGCTGTTTTTCTGCAAACACTCCTATGAGCAAGTGCTGTAGTTCTAGAAATGTTCTGAAACGGCAGTGGCTCATACAGTGGAGGTCTAAATTAAGCACCTGGGACCGATAAGGAATGGCAGTAGGCGAAAGCGAAGCAAGTTATTGTAGAGAAAAGGGTTCATCCATGAAAGCCACAGTGCCTGTCTGAGAGCACCAGAGCTATGGGGTATGACCCTGCAGATAATATCAACCTCCAGCGAATGGTGTTACCTCGCAACAGAGGCAACTGGTAGCATTCCTCTTGGTTTTTGTTTTTAGCCTGCGCTTAATTAGAAAATCCAATTTTGGAGCTGCTTATTGGAGGCAGATGTTTAGAAGTGGTAGTGTTGAGATTTAAAAGTTGCACTAAAATTTAATTGCTAGCATCGTGCTTCCAGTGCGCTGAATTATATTTAAGTCAGCGTTGTGCCTGCAGGGCATGCCCAAATACGGCTTGGGCGCAGAACATGGAGGCTGCCGTCTTCTGTGCGGTTGCAGGTCCTGCTGGATTTCTGCCAGAGCTTGGTAACCAGGATGGGAGGGGCCGAGGCTCACTTGTCAGAACAGCAGAGTCCTCTGGCCCAGAGAACCTGCTCTCTACTCCCAGATCTGTGTAAGGATGAAAGGGCCCCCTGCACATGCCCAGAGGCACTGTTTTCATTGCAAGGTTGAGCCCTGGCTCTGGCCTCAGTGCGACTTGAACCACGTGCATTCAAGCTTACAGGCTTACATGACATACTGGCTTTCAAAGTTGCATCATATAGTACATCTCTGTATAGTCTGAAGCCCTGTGACTGAGTGACCTGGGTGTGCCTTGCTCACTGTCTTGTTGATGTGCAGCTTTAGGCTGGAATCTCTTCTTCTGATGCTTATATTTAAATTGAATGTAGCTCGGACAGCCCTTCAGATAGAAGCTGGCCACAAAATATTTGTTATTTGTTTTTCGGCACCAGGCTAAGACCTTTTTATTTAAAACTTATTTTAATTTTTAATTATGTAGGTTTTTTTAACAAAAAAATTTTTAAGCCAAGATGCACCGGGTTTTAATATTTTTATTGTATAATTTTTATATGTGTGTGTTTGTTTTTGTTGTGAGCTGCCCCAAGGCTTTGTTGCGATGGGGGTGGCATAGAAATGTTTTAAGTAAGTAAATAAATAAATAAATAAATAAATAAAATGACCTAAACTTGCACATTTGCATGATACTTCTCTAAATTTGTCTGTACAAATTGCCTGCTTTTTAATTACTGCTTTTTAAGGATATGTATTAGTCGCACTGCCTTTCTGCATTTTGTTCT